ATACTTTGTTTGAGAATTTGAGCGTGGATTTGTTACCATGCCCAAACTAAATTGACAACTTGAGGCCTTTCTTGAAGAACTCCCGAAATAGATAACTGCCGATTGTTACTTCCATCGATTGTCCTGAGACATAGTGCAGCCGGGTTTGGGGCTGGACACCCCATTAAAGCGGCTACTTAGTGTGTTCGGGGGGCCCATGACGGGGAGGGTTGGACCGAAAAAAGAGCGTTTACAGAGTGTGTGTAATGTAGCGAGCGGTTCCGGCGGAGCCATCGATGGCAGTTTGTTCCGTGTCAGTGATCCTCTGCCGAACAAGCGACGGGCGCGCCCTCCCACACGAAAGGGCGCGGGGGGCGTCAGTGGGCGTCGGGGAGGGGGGGGCGAGGGGGGCGCGGGGCCTGGCGACGCGACGCTGCCCGCTACCAAGAAAACCATCAATCCTCCTCAACTCAAAGTCCACCATTGCCAACCCGCATGATTCCTGGATTCGATAATAGATCAAGTGAATTATTCCTCTTAACCGCACTCGGGAGAAAAAGTTCTAGCTTGAAAATCTATCACATATACCAATAATCGAATGAAGCGTTTTGTCTAATGCCTCTGCAGATACTAAAATAATCTTACTTGAATTAAAGTTTTGCTCTTTTTACTAAATTTAAAATAAATTATTCTTTACTTATGTTGGAAATAATTCAATTTCACTTTAAATATAAGCATTATACGATGGTATTTATAATAACCTCTAGCCCTTGAACTAACATTTATCTCAAATCTTACAGCATGCCGTAAAATACAGGTTTTTTTAAAACTTTTTTACGGTTGGATCATATGAGGAGCATTAAGAAAGGAAAATAATAGGAAAGCTTGTAAGATTTATTTTAGAAAGTTTGTAAAGTAGGAAAGTTTGTAAGTTTGTAATTTTTTTAGGCCTTTGATAAAAGGCCTGATTTAGCTATTTGCTTGCGGTAACATCAACAGTCGATGTTCAATATTGATTGAACTTTCAGTCTTTCAAACTGTAAGAGCGTGTTCAAAGGATTTCTATCAAATTTGGCTTGAATGAAACCTTATGATGAGACAATTCATTAATGTAACTTTTATCTTCAGTTCAAAGCTCATAGCAATGCATTGTTGCAAAGTTTGCTTTTTTGCCAATTAAAAATGCAGATATTTTGAGATTCGTTGGTTGAAAATGCCACTTTAGATCCCGCTTTATTTTCTGAGTGATGACATCATCGGATAGTTTTACCGTGCCTTAAAAGAAATAGATCAATACACGATTGTAATTTTTTCATTCGATTCGCACTTTTCACTGGTACTAAGAGAAATTGAAAAGCTTCCAAGTTTCTTTTTGAAGACAAACGTGAAAGGAAGATCGTGGCAATATTGCAATTCTATTAGTCCAGTTTTTTGCAGAATGCAGTCCATTTAGAATGACATCATTCGTCATACTTTGACCTCGTTATTGTACCCTTTTTTTCAGTTGTAAAATTTTTGAGGCTCAATAGTCCTGTCGATTTTTGGTAATTTTTTTTTTACCAAATTAATACCGTTTTTACCAAATAATCGAAACTCTTAAAATGGCAAGGTCTCTCGCATTCGATTAATTTGAAGATACCATTCAATCTTAACTATGGAAAAAAAAAAATGAACGAGAATAAAACGGCCTGTGAAAAAGTATCGTCCGTCCGTATTTGGGGAAAGAATCTATAAATAAAAGGACCTGGGAATGGAGGACGATAAATCTTCATCAGGGCCCGGACATCATGAATAGGGAGCCGACGGTGACTTTGAAGTTTCAAAGATAACGTTGACATTGCGATTTGCGCCGATTTCAAGTCGTTAGAGTAATGAATGACAATTTAAATGGAGATGGGCCTCGAGAATTTGAATAACAAAAGGAAGGCAGAGCGAAATGAAATGAAAATGATTGGAAGTAAATCAAACTAAAGGAGTGCTCCTGTCGCAATAAGAGGTGATTTAAGTGATGGTACTCGCTCGTATTTACGTAGAATGATAGATATGAAATCTCGATTTTACGGTGACACAGTTCCCTTCTCTTGGTCTTGGTCTATAATCTCCAGCCTTTGTTTCGTCTTTTGTCGCTCTTAACATTCAGTCAACCCATCCTCCCCTCATCTTAGGACTGTGAAATGAATGCTCTCTGATTTATCCATCACGCTACTTTCCTTGTAGCGCAGATTATTCGAATGGGCTGTCACACTTGTCGCAGCCGCCTGAAATCTGGTGAAGCGCATCCGTACTGCCGTCTTAAGGAAAAACGCCGTATGTACATTCGAAAATTGCCAAATTTCCTTAGATAAAATGTTGATCTTTCGTTTAAAAGAACTGTAGATATTTTCTTCCGAAAATTTCAGATAATTTAAATCTGATAGGGAATAAAATTATGTGAAAAATTCGGTGAAAAATATGCACAATTTCCACGAGAATTCGTATTTTATCAAAGGAAATTTGGCAACATCTAAAAGTTTACTCTGCGTTCTTCTTTTGGACGGCAGCGTTAATTACTGATCAGGGCTACAGACGATGGCTTCGATACTGCATTGTGGGATCCGCTCTAAGGCTGAGGATACGACTATTCGAACGTGGGTGTAGGTTTGTAGTCTACGCGAAAAATTGAAGGGGTTTTCTCGCGCGTTCGCTTGAGCAGCATTGTAAATTGATGGATTGAATATGAAAATTCATATGCTCCATTGCTCCCCTTAGTTTTACACTCAAATAATAGAGAAAAAGATTATCCAGGAGTAGGAGGGGCACCCTTAGGTCACTTTGAGGCCCAACCCGTGGGTTGTCTCTGCGTTTCTCTCACTCATATTATATAGCTGTCTTGAGCCAGTCGAATGTTTATTTGAGATTTTTCGTGAATTTCATATGCACCTAAAGGACAATTCACTGATTTTGTAAAATAGTGTTGAAAAAGTATTTTTTTAAATAAAACAGTATTTTTCTTCTACATTTTTAAAAAATTCGGAGTGAAATTCTGTGACGGAGTCTGAATAGCGCCGAAAACCCCGAGTGATAAGAATGCGGAGCGGTATCTCAGAGAGACTTACATTATTACGGAGTGGAATCCACTCTTTTTATCTATCTATTTAAAGTGATCATTTCACTTCTCATTCATATCGGGGGATTTGGGCGCTATATAGACTCCGACACCGAATTCTTCACCTCGATTTTTTATAGCATAGGAAAAAATATTCAAAGATTTCCTTGAAATTCCCATTTTATCAAAGGAAATTTGGCAACGTCTCAAGGCTCATAAGGCGTTTTTCCTCAGCTCAGCAGCGTATCTCCGCGACTGGTGACGCTAACTTCTGCTGTTAAAGCGTGAGATTGATGTGCCTCCTTTGAGCCTAAACACACAACATTATCTTTTCACGGATCGTGCACGCTAACGAAATTTCCGTAGGCAAATTCTTACGAGCTTTTAAATCGCAGGCAATTATTTTCTTTGTTTATATCATTCGCAGTTTCAAACCTACAATTGAGCACTCATTAACGCTAGGTATGTATATAAGTGAAATTCTCAACCCATTTGAGTTGAGGTGGATCCGTAGCTCTTTAGAGAATAACTCGATAGTCCAACGATCGACGGATCATTTCTAGATTTTAGGGAAATCCTCGAGAATTTCCAAGCGTCACATCAGGCTGGACTTTGTCAGATATTTGTTCATAAAAGATCAAAAGCACTTAAAATAACTCCTAAAATTCATTCCGAGCGATTCGCAATGGCTATCAATTTGCAAAGTGCCCTCTATAAATATCAATTTTGAAAAGGAATCGACCGGCGATTTATCAATTCTGAAAATTTAGACTCTGAGACATTCTTTTTGTTAGTAAAAAAATCTCTGATGGTCACATATCACTGTGTGTTACATCACAAAAAACTGTGTTTTTTTGCCGGGCTTTCTGGATAAGTTATACGTCGGAGGACTAGTTAGACTTTTTAAAAATTGTTTACCAAAACCTATGGAGCAACCTTAAACACATAAAATATTTCTCGTTTATTTTAACAAAATAGGCAAAAATCAATCGATTCGCGACTGCCATTAAACAAAATCATACCGTACAGTTTATTAAAGTTCAATTTGTAGTTTTATGGCAGTACATCGACAATGAAACTGTCTTGTTTGCGGTGTTTAAAAATCTCCACTCCCATTTTATTATTTCAAAAGAGAATACATCAGTATTATAGACCCCGAAGTTTTCACAGAAAGTTCTTCACAAAGAGAAGAAATATCATGTAAATTTTTGAGCATTGGCGTTAAGTACTTTTGTATTTAAAAATAAAGTTTCCTTGAATTTGTCAGCTTTTCACCTTTTGACACTGGCGTAGGGGGAGGAACTAACAACTAAATTAACAGTTATACATAGTACGTATATATAATTTAGTTATAAGCTAGAGTCTAAAGTTAGACTCAAAAGTTCAAAGTTCATTTACTAATCATATTTTAACCTTATAATGTAAAAACAATTAATACTCTGTAGTTTTGTTCATAAATAAAAAATAAATAAAGAAATAAATAAAAAATAAAGTGCCTATGATAAGAGATCTGCAACGTCGGAAACGGAAATACGTGGTCGGGTGGTTTCAATGTGGATATAAAAAATAACGCTAGATCAGTATGGGCAAGGCCGAAAGAAAGAAAATAGTTTGTTCTAACCGCGTAATAACCATGGGTAATTGGTTTTGCGGGGTTATCGAGGAAATGTTGGCACGGTTTGTGAATGACCCCGCTGGGAGTAAAGTTCAACTGCACTGTCGTAGAGGAAGCACGAGTGTTAAATTATTATTGGAGATCTGAATGGCTCACCCAAGTTTTTCGTGTAAGCACTAATTCTACACGGTGGCTTTCCGTCTCTTAAAGTTCCGCAGTTTTGGAAACTAATTTTTCGATGTTCCCTTGTTCCCCAAAGCTCCCTAAATCTTATACTTAACTACAAGTATTCTGATTTATCTAATGAGTTTGAAAACTTACTTGGTTTCATCGATGAAAACAGCTTCTAAAACTTTAGCAGCGTAAGCGAGGTTTTTTTGGAGCACGTCCGCGCAAATTTCACCTTTCTGTAACTGCCGCAACAGACATCGGAGTCTGAAACATAGAAAATTCAGCATAAAAACACCCATCATATAGAGGCTAACTAGTGCTGCACCATAGAAGAACGATACATGGAAAAATGTGTCAGGGGTTATCCCCTAAATTGTGGCACCACCCCAATTTGTTGGATGATGTGGGCATTTCCAATTAATCGTAGCAGTGCCGTAACATTTGAGTTAGTAACCTAATTTATTGGTGTGCTACCACAATAATTAGTTGGAAATGCCCATGCCATCGAAAAACCCCTACCTATTTATGTCCGTTTTTATATCGATTTATTATCATCGGCAGAATGAGAGCGGTTATGATATGTTATTATTATTTGTTGGCTTCAATTCGATACAAGGTAGGATTCCTACGGTATCTTCACCATCAACTTGCCGTGCTAAAGAAGAACACTGTGTGAGCTTTCAGACGCTGCCAAATTTCCTTTAACACACCACAAATTTTCGGGTTTTTTGAATATTACTCTTCCGATTTTTCCAAGAATTTTGTCCATAATTTTATCTAAAATATATGAAAATTTAAAGGAAAAATATGCATGACTTTCTTCAAAAATAAATATTTACTGAGAGGAAATTTGGCAACATTCGAATTCTCATATGGCGTTTTCCCTTAGCACGGCAGTAACGACGCACAGTGGATCGAGTCAATAGTAGAGGTCGGACAAAATTTGGAAACTCTAAACGCTTAAAATTCCGTTTCTACAAAACATGGAGGCTCTAAAAGTGGTTCCATCGGTTTTCTCGTGAAAGTTTCTTCTCATACCATCCCTTGAAATTTAAAATGTGACAAAATAAACATTAAATTTTGCAATTTAAGTAAAATATTTCATGTCCGACCGCTCCGATTGACTTGATCCACTGTGCGACGTCTGTTCGACGGGCTTTGGCCGGAACCAGCCGAACTACATATCGGACGTTGCATCATTGGACCATATTTTGCAATTATTAACTACAATTTCTGACTCATTACAGAAACAACATAATGCGCCTTAGTTTCCCTATATGCAAAGAGGTTTTTTTATCTGCGAGATAGAAATTTTAATTTCTAAATGCAAAATGTAGTCGAATAACCCCCTCCGATATTTATTCTTTTGAACAGAAAATAATAGTGGTTCTTCAGCAATTCGATGGTCAATCGATCAATAAATAGTTTCTGGATTTAAGGACTGTTTTCAAGAATTTCTGATGGTTCATCAATCTTAGATGTTTCATGGAGCTCTCAAGGACCATTTTAAACTTGCTTCCAAGCGATGTCTTAACCATGCTCATTCCCAGATTTTTCCCTGATGAGAAACCAAACTCTTCTCCCACTTCCACGGATTTGCTTGGGGGAAAACTATAAAGTTCTCCAAAATTCTAATCATGAAAATCTACGTTTTTCATTCTTTTTTTACGCTGATTTTTTGGCGCATATACAAACTTTAGATTCCAAAAGCGTTCCTGATGTTTATATTATTAAGTCGATGAAAGTTTTTCTATTAATTCTGACGATTCCAACATTCAAGGGGTCATCATTTCTTTTTGCTCTGCCTTGAAAATACTTGTTGATATCTCGTTAAAGGGTTGATTTTCGAACTTCTCGTTGTATGGCTCGTTTTCCTTGGGAAAGTATGAAGAGAAAAAATTTGACGTATAAATAATATTCCTGATCAGTGTTCGAAACTCACCCTTGAGTTTCAGGAGCCATGTGCTCCATCAAGCTCAATTTTTAGGGGCCATTAGAGATTTTTTAGGGGCCAAATTGAATTTATGTCTATGGCGCTTTAAGTGAAAATTTAGAATCTGGCGCCGTGCGTCGAAATTGCGAAAAAGCACCAAACAGAAAAATTAAGATTTTTGTTGTTTTTTTTTGGGGGGGGGGGATCAATTTTTAGAGGCCACGTTGGCGCAGAACCTTCATTTTTTAGGTGCCATAACCGATTTCTTGGGCGATTTTGGCGCGTTGGGGCCTGTGAGTTTGGAACACTGTTCCTGAGCCTGGACACGATAGAATGTGAGATTGGAGGATGAGGATTTTGGTACACGGAAAAAAAAATAAATGTTGATTCAGCATGTATACTGTTAAAAAGATGTCCGACAAGTTTCAAATGCTGATTTTACAACACACAAATGCTAACATAACATTTTAATTTATACGTTTTGCAGTGGGCGTAGTTACGTTAGCATTTGTTAAAATGTAAAATGAGCATTTGAAATTTGTCGGACATCTTTTTTAGAGTATAAATGGACGTATTTCTATCAAACGAAACAAAGCGCCAAATTGAGTTCCTTTTGAGGAATTTAGAATCCCGGATGGCGCGTTCTGTCAAACAGACCTAAGCGCCATGGAAAAGCATTGCGAGTATAGGACGGAATAAGCCGGACGCCCGATTCCGCCGCCAATCCAAGCCCCCCTCTACCTTCCTCGCCCTATGGCGCTTAGGTCCGTTTGACAGAAATACGTCCAATTCTCCAAAAGGAATCACGCCCTCTTTTACATTGTTTCTTATGCAGCTTCCTAGAGCACACCCCATATTTCTCACCTCCACATAGGTCTGTTTGGTAGAAATACGTCCAAATGGTAAATGAACATTGAATTTGTTTCCATGTATATTAGGGGTGAGTAATGAGTAGTTACCTGAGGGCGGCCTTGTCGCAGGCATCGGGGGTGTCGACGGCGGGCAAGTTCTCGGTGGCGAGGTCGACCCTCTCGAGGGTCTCGTTGTCCAGGTCCAGCGACTCCGAGCCAAAGCCGGAGCCGGAGGGATGCGAGGCCGAGGCCGAGACCGTTCGCTGGAGGCTCTTCTTCGTGCTGCTCCGTCGCACGATCGTCAGGGATCCCTGCTCTGCAACACACAACCACCAACAACGTCACACACCATCAACCAGCGACATGCGTCATCCCTCACACACCCACCAAAAACATCAATCAACCCCCCCCCCCTCCAAGCTCCTTTGCTCATCGACAAAGCCGCAGGACTCGCTAACTGAGCACACTTCTACTTCTCCCGTCCTCAGGAACAATGTCCTATCTACATTCCATTATTCCCAAATTTCTTTGCATTAAATCTTTATTTTTCGGGAGGGCTATGAACACTTTCTCTTGAAATGTTCAGATAATTCGTCATTTTCTGCACAAAGGAATGTAATATCATTCCAATGTCGCAACGTTGACTTGAACCATTCGATTTTTCCCAAGAATGAGCTCGGGCAATTTTTATCCGATTTATTATTGATTTTTGCATTAAATCTGAAAAAAATCAGTGAAAATTTCAGGAGGAAATACCCAAGATTTCCAAGATTTTTGAGGCATTATCTGTAAAGAAACAACTCTTAGTTTTGCTCTAGCAAAAATTTGCAACAGGCCCATTGTGTTCAGCTTCACAAATGTTCATCGCACAGTGGTCCAAAATGGGCGAATTAGTGGATAAATTAAGATCCTCTGTCAAACTTTTTAAAAATGAAGCAAAACTGTTAATCCCCTGCAGAGTACAGATCCCGGAAAAATTCATGTAAATAAATTTTTTTTGATTATTACTGTAAGTCAGACCGTATTGTTTATAGAACTTTGTTATAAATTAGATTTTGTAGTATTATTTCAATAAAATATGCAAACTTTCAGAAATTTAAAAAAGATAAGGAAAAATGGAGAAAGAAAAAATTTAGAAAAAAAAACAGAAAACAAAACAAAAATAATAAAAAAAAACAGAAAAAACAGAAAACGAAAAAAAATTGAAAAAAACAGAAAACCAAAAAAAAATTTAAAAATTCAGAAAACAAAAAATGATCAGAAAAACAGAAGAAAATAAAAAAAAACAAAAATAAAAGAAGAAAAAAAAATAAATAAAAAACTAAGGTAAAACGAACAAAAAACTTCTTCAAAGATTAGTACCAAGACTTGGTGAAGAGGCTTACCCATTATTTTTAATGCAATGTAGAAGCAAATAATGCTACAAAATCTAATCTATAACAAAGTTCTACAAACAATACGGAGTGACATACAGTAATAATTAAAAAAATTAAAAACATGAATTACCGGGATCTGAACTCTGCAGGGGATCAACAGTTTTGCTTCATTTTTAAAAAGTTTGACAGAGGATCTTAATTTATCCACTAATTCGCCCATTTTGGACCACTGTGCAATGAAAATGTGTATAATGATATATTTGTATGCAGGGTTCCCAGCCAATTTTGGAAAAAAAAATCTCTGACTTTTCCAGGTTTTCCAGGCCAAAATGAAAATTTTTCCAGGCCTTTTTCCGTAGAAAAAACTCAAATAATTTGCCCTAAAAGAGACAGCGCGCGCATTTTTTGGTTTTTGTAAAAACTCCCTTATCTTCATCAATTTTTGATCTGGTTCAGCTTTTTTTTTATAAGAACCAGGCTAGGATAGTATCATAACACGAATGAAATCACAAAAAAACTTAAAATGTGTTGGAAAAAAAAAATTGGCGAAATATAAACGCCTTCTTAAACGATACATGCATTGGTGAAAGCATATAATTTTTCAATTTGTTTCATTTACTCATATTAGTATTGGATTTGAAAAATAAATCCCATCATGGTATTGCTGCTATGCTAAGGAAAAGAGCACTGAACAGATTCTTTTAAAAAATAATCCAACCTGCAGTCTTCGTTCTGCAGACTATTAAGAACTATTCATAAAAAAACTGAAAAATGCATATATATATATTTTTAAATGAGCGTATTGTCGGGGGAAAAAAGGCAGAGTTACAAAGAAATAACCTCTACCTTAGCATGCAGACATAGTTCTCAGCTAAGCGCAAGATATCCTAGTGAGTGTACCTGAAACTTTTACATTGAAGATTAAGGGTTACCCGATCGAAGAGCATAGGCGTAGCTAGGTCATTTTGCTAGGGGGCCCTGGCCTCCCACCACCGGGGGGTATGGAATACCCCCCAGCTCAGGGGGGGGACTTCGGGGGGCCTCCCCCGGAAAATTTTTGAAATTTTAACTCTACTTGAGCGCATCTCGAGGCACTTGTGGCGTTAATCTTCCTTCAATTTCTGCCTAAAAATCACCCAGTTTTTTACATTATCAGGTTAAAATACTTTGAAATTGTTGCATTCAACAGGTTTTTCTATTCATAGGCATCCTCTCACAGGCCACGGCGACAGAGACTTACCGTTGAAGAAGGTCTTTTTGCAACATTCAGAATTTCTAGGGGGGGGGGCAGATGATACTATTTCCAATTCTAGGGGGGGCCAGGCCCCCCCTTCCTACGCCTCTGTCGAAGAGGAGTGAAGAGGAGTGGCTAGCTCCTGCGATCTCTTTTTTCATTAGACACAACCGGTCGCACAAGATGTTCCCATCATTATGGCTGACCTGCAGGGGGAGCCACCGAACACTTCCGAGTAGTTCCGATTCGTTCCGAATGCCGATAAAGAGGATGAGTTGGCGGAAAATTCAAAATACAACGAAGGAATTGCAATTTCAATTTTAATTCTTTTATTTTTATTTGTTTACTTATTAAATTTTTTTTCTTAGTACTTGAAAAAATTCCAGACTTTTGGAGCAAATTCCCTGACTTTTCCATGTTTTCCAGGCCATTTTTCCCCCTGACTTTTCCATGTTTTCCAGGCCATTTTTCCCCCTGACTTTTCCAGGTTTTCCAGATCGCTGAGAACCCTGAATTTATGCCGTGAGCCCTGTAATGCGCATACACTTATGGGTCTCAGGACTCATGTCTTAATGCACATAGTTCCGTTTGGTAGAATAATACGTTCATTTTGTCATTCCCTGGCGAATCCTACTTTTTCCCTGTCTTAGACAGCGGACCGCAGTCTTCAATAATCGGCCGTTTCAATCAATAGGATCGAAATAATTTTTCTTAGTCTTCTTTATCTTTAACTTTGTCGATCAATTGCAATGATCAGGCCACTGCCGATCATATTTCTATAAAAAATCGAATTCCTTGGTCAATTTTCCAACCTTGAAACGAGCTTACGTCCCTCTATCAAAGGATCGACGAATCAGGATATTATCACGCATCAAATCGTCGCTCCTCCGACGAAAAGACACATCTCAATTTCCACGTGAGCTTTATTTTCTATACAAATCCATGCTTCCAAGACTCATGCGGAAATTGTTATACGCCCATACGTCAAAGGAGCGACGAAATGACGGTCGACGTCTATGACGATCTGGCAAGGCGGGAGCCCAGGATGCTGCGTACGAGATGAGGATGAGATGAATGGCTATAGGTGAAAGCATCTCTTCATCGAGGCGGTCATGGCATCGTGCATTCGAGGATTCGTGTCGGCGCAATAGCCCTTTTGGGGAAATGCATCCTGATCATCTTGATTGAGACGCATCGGATGCTCGGGTCCGAGGATTTCACAAAGCACAATCCAGGCAACATGACAATAGGACATTGAATCCATGTCCTAGTGTCTAATTCTGTCGTGCTAAGGGAGAACGTCGTAAGAGCCTTCAGACGCTGCCAAGTTTCTTCTGATAAAAACCGGATTGGGTCAGTTCTGCCGCAATAAGGAAAAACGCCGTATGAACATTCGAGAGTTGTCAAATTTCCTCTCAGAAAATAGTTATTTTTGAAGAAAGGTATGAATCTATCTCCTTGAAATTTTCAGGAACCGCAGGTGGAGTTGAGAACAAAATTATCGGAAAAATCGGAAGGAACATCTTTACAAATTTTCCAGAAAACTGGTGATTTGCCGTAAGAAATTTGGCAACGCCTGAATGTTCATACGGCGTTCTTCCTAAGCACGGCAGAGTTGCGATGGTCACAGAATCGTGTTTCGATGCTTGATTCTTGTAGATCAGCTAAAAATAATACCATCCAAACTCTCTACGTTCAATATTAGCCGAGATATCGCCTTTTAAAAAGCCGGATTTTGACGTCATCCACCGCGGTGGTGACACCCTTGGTTTCTTCCACCTCGCTTTTATCAGTCAGTGATGCACTGGTTACTCAGCGTGATACTTGGATGAAAGCAAGGTGAAAAAACCAAGGGTGTCACCACCGCGATGGATATGACATCAAAAACCTGTCTTTTCAAAGGGCGATATCTCTGTTAATATTGAACGTAGAAAGTTGCTGTTTGGACGGATCTTATTATTTTTAGCTGATCCACAAGAATTCAAGCATATAGCCACGATTTTGTGACCAATGCAACTGAACCATTTACCGGGAAAATTGTGAATATTGTCCCCCGAAATTTTCAGACGATTTTGCACGCAATTCAATGTAAATATCTGAAATTTTAAAGGAAAAATATGCATAAATGTCGTAAAAAATACATGCTTTATCAAGGGAAACTTGGCAACTCTCGAATTTTCGTGCAGCGTTCTTCCTTAGCACGGCAGAATTCAAGCCGAGCCGATTACAATCAAGAAATGCCTTGAAGGAGGAGTGGATTCTAGATTTTTCCTAAGTGATTTATGTTGTTTTTGAGTCATTTAAACACTTGAATTCATATGTGATGCACCCGTGGCAAGGGTTCGTGACGACCCACACCTACGCAAAAGAGGGAGGCACGCTTCTAATGAAAAGATTTTTCGGGGGGGGGGNGGAGGTAAGTGACATCTAGGACAAAGGGAGAAGGAGAGGTCAAAGGTCGGGAAAAATGGGTTACGTAATTCATGGACAAACCCTCACTACTTTTCAGCAAAAAAGGAAAGTTGTGAAAAGTGAGAGTTGAATTAATCCGGGAAATCCAGGTACCCTCATTAATTATTGTAATAATTGGACGTATTTCTATCAAACGGAACTACGTGCATTATGACGTGAGCCCTGTTATGGACATATTTGTATGGGTCTCAGGGCTAATGTCTTAATGCACATGGTTCCGTTTGATAGAAATAC